TTTGGCTATTATGACTCAAGCTACTATGAATTTTCTCATACAGGTCTTTTTCTGAACATATGTTTTTATTTCTCCTGGGTAAAAACGTGGGAGTGGAGTTGCTGGTCCCAGGTGGGTGGATGTTTGCCTTTAGGAGAAACTGCCAGTCTTCATAAATGATGAACAATTTTACACTCACACCAGCAATGTAGGAGGTTCTAGTTGTTCTGTATGCTTGTCAACACTTGGGGTTGTCTGTTTTTTAAAATTTAACCAGTGGAGGGACTTCCCTGGTGATTCAGTGGTTAAGACTCCATGCTTCCACTGAAGGGGGCACAGGTTTGATCCCTGGTTGGGGAACTAAGATTCTGCATGCCACGTGGCCATAAATAAATAAATAAATAAATAAATAGAGACTCCACTTCCCACCAACATACTTATAAATAAAAATAGAACAGAGAAAACCATAATTCAAAAAAACACATGCATCCCAGTGTTCATAGCAGCACTGTTTACAATACCCAGGACAGGGAAGCAACCTAAACGTCCATTAGCAGAGGAATGGATAAAGAAGATGTGTACATACATACAATGGAATATTACTCAGCCATAAAAAGGAATGAAATTGGGTCATTTGTAGAGATGTGAATGGACCTAGAGAGTGTCATACAGAGTGAAGTAAGTCAGAAAGAGAAAAACAAATATTGTATAATAAAGCATATAAGTGGAATCTAGAAAAATGGTATAGATGATCTTATATGAAAAGCGGAAATAGAGACACAGATGTAGAGAACAAATGTATGGATACCAAGGGGGAAAGGGGTGGGGTGGGAGGAATTGGGAGACTGGTATTGACACATATACATTATTGATACTATGTATAAAATAGACAACTGATGGGAACATACCGTATAGCTCAGGGAACTCTACGTAATGCACTGTGGTAACCTAAATGGGAGGGAAGTCCAAAAGGAAGGGGATACCTGTATGTGTATGGCTGATCCATTTTGTTGTGCAGTGGAGGCTAACACAACATTGTAAAGCAACCATACTCCAATAAAAATCAAAAAAAAAATCTAAAGAGATATAACCAAATGCAATGCATGAACCTTGGTTGAATTTTAAATTGGAGGAAAATCATATGAGACATTTTTGTAAAAAATGGGGGAACTTGACTTCATATATTAGATGGCATTATGGAATTATTGTCAGATTTCTTAGGTGTGATAACAGTATTGTGGTTATATAGTAAAATGTCCATTTAGGTGATGCATACAGAAATAAAGAATAAAATATCATAACGTATATGACTTTAAAATTGTTTAGTAAAAAGAGAGAGAGAGGGCTTCCCTGGTGGCGCAGTGGTTGGGAGTCCGCCTGCCGATGCGGGGTACACGGGTTCGTGCCCCGGTCCGGGAAGATCCCACATTGCCGCGGAGCGGCTAGGCCCGTGAGCCATGGCCGCTGGGCCTGCGCGTCCGGAGCCTGTGCTCCGCAACGGGAGAGGCCACAATGGTGAGAGGCCCGCGTACTGCAAAAAAAAAAAAAAAAAAAAAAAAAATGTTCTTCGTCCTATGTCCAAGTTTCTGAACATTTGTGAGTTTTTAAAATAAAATTTGAGGGAAAAAAAAGAAAAAATTATTGGAAACTTTCTTTAAAGTTGGCTCATTATATTTTTTGTCCTGAAACTATCTGGTAAATCTAATTTAAATGCAATTTTATTTAATGACTAGTGTTGATATTATGATTCATCACTCATTTACTTAATTAGCACTTGACTTTATGTACCCAAAATGTCCAATTTGCACACTGATATTTTTTCAATTAAATAAAATTATGTTTTGGGAAGAAAAATAATAAAAATAAAAATAAAATAACATTTAACCAACGGTAACTATGATTTTAATTTGTGTTTCCTAGATGAATAGGGATGCTGAGCATCTTTTCATATGCATGTTGGCCATTTCTATATTTTCTTTTGTGAAGTGTCTGTTCAGGTCTTTTGCCCACTTTTAAGATTGTGAGGTTTTTTAAAAAAATTATTCAGTTGAAGGAGTTCTTTTATATTCTGTATACCTGTCCTTTGGACTTTAAATATTTTCTTCCACTCTGTAGCTTGCCTTTTTATTGTATCTATAGATGGTATCTGTTAAGAAGCAGGTGCTTTGATGAAGTAGTCTTTCAAGTTTTTCTTTTATAGCTTGTGGTTTGTGCCTTGTGTCAGGTAAGAAATCTTGATACATGATCACATTTGTTAGTTTTCGGCTGCTTTCCGTTTTTTGGTGTTGCTTTTTTCTTTTTGATGTACTTCCTTTTTAGTTAGTAAAAATAATGATATGGTTCCAAAGTCAAACCTATAAACAAGGTATATTTAGAGAGGACCTGCTTCCACTCTCAACATTAACCTTTTTAGTTCCTAAATAATCCTTCTTTTATTTCTTCTTGGAAATTATTTATCTCCCTCCCCGTTTCCTGACATTAAAAGTAGGGCTATATAGGGACTTCCCTGGTGGTCCAGTGGTTAGGATTCCTCACGCCCACTGCAGGGACCCGGGTTCGATCCCTGGTCAGGGATCTTACAAGCCACACGGCAAGGCCAAAAAAAAAAAAAAAAAAAAAGTAGTACTATATATACATATACACACATATCTTCTTGTTTGTTATTGGACAGTATATCCAAAAAGAGACTGTTCCATAGTAATATATGGAGATTTTCCTCTTTTTTCCCTTTTCCCCCTTCTTTCCTCCCTTTATTTTTGGTAGCTGCAGAGTCACTATATGGATGGACATTTGGGTTATTTCTAGTTTTTTGTTGCTGCCTTGTGCCTACCTCACCTGATATTTTTGCTAGTCTACCTTTAGGATGGATTTCTAGAAATAGTACGGCAGGGTCAAAGGGTCCCCCATCTGTAACTCTGCTAGGTATCACCAAATCCCCCTTCTAGTGCTTGTATAGGAAAGCCTGTTCCTGCCCAGACTTGCCATAACTTTTGGTTTCTGCCAATCTGATAGGAGCAGGGCTATCTTGGACTATCTTGGATGTTCCCCAGTGTCTGCAGGCGTAATGAGAAGCCATGAAGTATACAGGTTAAGCGCACAGACCTCACTTCGTGCCTTTGTTCGCACAAACCCTGGCTTTGCCCTTCCTGGCTGTGACCCCAGGTGTAGCACGGAGCCAGCCCCAGCGCGGAGGCTGCCCTCTACAGTCGGGATCATCTCTTCTGGCTGTTTCAGGCCACCGATCATTTCACAATAAAAATGCTGGCTTTACTCCCTGGCCCGAACCGATTACCTGGGTTATGGCATTTGATCCCATAACAGCCCTATAAGGCAGCTATCGTATCCCCATGTTACAGGTAGGGAAACCAGGGGATGGAGGGTTAGAAAGAGTTAGGGCTTTGCCCAAACTCACAGCTAGACAAGCAGGAGAGGCAGCTGGACTTGTGAGGCAACACATAAACTCGCACATGTGTGTACATGCATGTACCTGCATGTCCATGTGTGCATACACGCCTGTGTGTTTATCCACACACCTGTGTGCATGTACTCATATACATGTGTATGTATGTACCTGTATCTCTGTGTATATACGCGTGTATACATATACAGTTAAGTCCCTACATACGAACGAGTTCCGTTGCGAGAGCATGTTTGTAAGTCCAGTTTGTTCGTAAGTCCAACGAAGCGAGCCTAGGTACCTAACTAACACAATCGGCTATATAGTACTGTACTGTAATAGGTTTATAATACTTTTTTTTTTTTTTTTTTTTGCGGTACGTGGGCCTCTCACTGTTGTGGCCTCTCCCGTTGCGGAGCACAGGCTCCGGATGCACAGGCTCAGCGGCCATGGCTCACGGGCCCAGCCGCTCCGCGGCATGTGGGATCTTCCCAGACCGGGGCACGAACCCATGTCCCCTGCATTGGCAGGCGGACTCTCAACCACTGCACCACCAGGGAAGCCCGGGACCAGACTTTTAACATGGGGTCCCTTTGAGGCCATTTGTGGCTCCTGCTTCCCTCCCCTGTTCTGCGTTCCAGTCACCCACAACCAAGAGTGGCCCGTTCACCCATTCACCCATGTGTCCAGACTCTTCCCCTGGCCTCTGGAAGGCCCTGCCTGCCCCCTTCTCTCTCCACCTATTCCTTCCAGCCCCATCGCTCACTCCTGGGTCTCTGTCACTTTCCCCAGGCCCTGGTGCCCCCAGGGCCTGGCGGGGACAGGTGAGTTTATGGGAGCTGGGATGGGGGAGCAAATCTCAAATCTCTGTGCCCAATTCCCAACAAGAGGTTTAATCCTTAGAATTCCTTCATGGCTACAGCACAGTAGCTTTTCTGTACTGCAAAGGCCGCTGTGCAGGAATTTGGCTAATGCAGGAATTTTGGCACTAGCTGCAGGACAGGAAGCCTCGGTTTCCACATCCAAACAGGGACCCATCTTAACAAGATTTTTAGGATTTAAAAGGCCCCAAGTTGCAGGACAGGAATAGAGACGCAGATGTAGAGAATGGACTTGAGGATATGGGGAGGGGGAAGGGTAAGCTGTGACAAAGTGAGAGAGTGGTATTGACATATATACACTACCAAACGTAAAATAGCTAGCTAGTAGGAAGCAGCCGCGCATAGCACAAGGAGATCAGCTCCGTGCTTTGTGACCACCTAGAGGGGTGGGATAGGGAGGGTGGGAGGGAGATGCAAGAGGGAGGAAATATGGGGATATATGTATATGTACAGCTGATTCACTTTGTTATAAAGCAGAAACTAACACACCATTGTAAAGCAATTACACTCCAATAAAGATGTTAAAAAAAAAAAGGCCCCAAGTTGGCTTCTGAGCAGGATCCCTCCTGGGTACCATGTGGTCTGCCTGGGGGTGAGGCTGGGCACAGGATGGGCTAAAGGGCACACGAAGGGATTTTTTTTTTTTTTAATAATTTTTATCATGGGGCATTTCCCTTTGCTGTCTTTATCTTTAAAAAAATTTTTTTTTTCCTTTGGCCGTGACGCAGCTTATGGGATTTTACTTCCCCGACCAGGGATTGAACCTGGGCCCTCAGCAGTCAGAGCCTGGAGTCCTAACCACTGGACCACCAAGGAATTCCCCAAAGGAATTTTTTTTTACTTTGCAAAATACAACAAATATTATTCCCTCATCTTTTCAATGAAAAGGAATTTCCTAGAGAAGGGGCAGAGAAGTGGGAGAATTAAGAGGCAGAGAAGAAACAGTATAGCACTGACCTACATTTTATTCACTAAACCGTGGCAGCTGCTTCTGTTTTGTTTATCACCACCCGGGAGGACAGTACGGAAGCCGAGGCCTGAGAGATGGCTGGTCTGCGTCCAGTAACTGGATGGGCAGCCGGAAACTAGGGTCGGCCTGCCCGGCAGCCTTCAGGTGGTCAGACCTGCTGCTGCGACGGCGCTGGCAGGGTGTGTCCCACCAGCCGGGGGAAAGGACCAGTCCGGGGACAGATTTCTCCAGATCTGAATGTCAGCCCCCAGAAGATGCCAGCAGCTGCCCCTCCACCCTGCCCCCATCCCCAGAGATGCCCCAGAGAACCGAGTGGGGCACTGACTCCTGAGGGGTGGCGCTAGCTAGCTGCAGGACGGGAAGCCTTGGTTTCCACATCCAAACAGGGACCCACCTTAAGATTTTTAGGGTTAGAAGATGAAGCGTCTGACATAAACTAGGCATCCTGGGAACCAACTTCTCATTTGTAATAAATCAGAATGGGGCTCCAAGTGGACCCGTGTCGACAAGGCAGGTGGCCACCCATCTAGGTCCCAAGTGTACTGATGGAAAGGGAGGTCAGGCGGGCCCACTGGCCACCACTCCCCAGAGGACAAGGTCTTGACCTGGGACTTGGCCAATCTGCAGGTTGGAGGACCACAGCCCTGCAGAGGCACCCAGGCCAGGCGGGCAACGGTCATGGGGCCTGGATGGCCCTGCCAGAACCGGAACAGGACCCGGACACGCCTGCAGAGCTCCAGCCCGGAGTCTGATTCTGCGCCTGCCAGGCTACTTGCCGGGTTTGACCTGGATTCCCAGAGAGGTCCACAGGCAGGAATATTCAGTGGCATGGCAAACGCAGTGCTGGCTCTGTGGGTGGTGTCCTGGGCCCTCCTCTACCGGCCTTTGTTCACCGTGGTCCATGCGCCGTCCACGAGGTCCGGCCCAGCTCCCCAGCAGCCCTCTGCAAGCCCACAAAGCCACCCCAGGCCACTCTGACTTAGACTGCCCAGCGTCAGGAGAGACACTTGCCAACGTTCAAAAAAAATCCCGATTTTTGGCTTCTCTTGAAAACTGCGACGGTCCAGCGGCACAGGTCCCTGGTTCGGCAGATGTCGGGCTGTCCCCTTGGCCCGGCCAGTTTCCATCATCCCAGGGCCTCCTCCTTCACTGCTTTGTACAACTTGACCTAAACCACCATTCCCATTTCGTAGCCTTGACGTCTGAGGCCTTGGTTCTGAGTCCCGAGACCTCACTGTAGACTCAGGCTGGGGCGCGTGGGACCGCAGCCCCATTCTCTGAGGCTACCCCACGCTTCTGCTCTGTCTGCACCAACCTCTGGCGCTCGCCAGGAGGGCCCAGGGCTCCGGGGGAGGTGGCCACCCTGTCCCCCTCTCCCGCAGCTCTCATCTCAAAGTGGGGGGCCCCTCCTTCCAGCAGGGAGGCCGGCTCGAATACCTGAAAAGAGGGAGCAGTGAATGTGGGTCTCAAAGCCAGCTCTGCACTCAGCAGAGGCCCCGAGAGCCCAGCCTGACAGATTAACTCAGAATCCCTGTCCTGGTCACTCGGGGTGGCCCGGATGCCTCACTGCCAGCCGCATGCGGTGAGCTCATCGGTGACAGCCACTACAGGACCACTGCCCGCCTGACCTGAGACACAGAACAGCTCCGCCGCGCCCCCTCCAGGAGTGGACTGGGGGGTGTGATAAGGCTGCAGGCAGGGCGCTGGGGACACCTCCCGCTGTTTCCAGCCTGGAGCAAGGCTGGGCAGGGTGGCCAGAGGCGAGGAGGCGTCACAAGGCCGGGAGGGCACACAGGGGCCTGGCCGGACCGTCACCCTCTACCACCTGCCCGCCTGTGAAGGGGTGAAATGAACCAGCCCCCCAGCAGCAGCCCTGACCCTCTGCGGCACTGGGTCTGAACGGACGAGGGCGCCTCCTCTGTACCGGTGGGAAGGGGGCAGGATTCGGCTTCAGGGGGGCTGAGTGTGGGTTCTCTCTCCCAACGTCTTATGACGAACTCAGAACATCCATCATACTGGGCAGGATCATGCCGTGAACCCCCATCCCTGGATCTATCCATCAACAACGGTGCCTGCCCCTCGCGTGGGTCAGTGGCCCCTTAAAGCTGCGATGAGCTGCGACCCTGTGTCTGAACAGCTCAGCCCGCCCCCTCCAAGGCCGCCGGAGGCCCAGGTTCCAGGCCTCACAGAATGAGCGTTTTATGTATCATATGTTAACTCGACAGCTCGAGGGAGCTGATCACTGTAAAGACACACAAAGCGAGGGAAATGTGGTTGGAACGCCTGAGCCACATGTGGCAATTTAAAATTAAATCAGTGAAAACTCACTCTCTCTGCTACTTTAGCCACGTTTCAGGTGCTCAGCGGACACCTGGGGCTCGCGGCTCCCTCACTGGGCAGGGCCGACGGAGGACCCCCCACCCCAACGGCGGACATTCTATCGGGCAGTGAGCGGTCAGAACAAAAAGGCCGAGAGTGGCAAAAATGCCACAGCATCACCCACCCCCAAACGGGGGATCTACAGTTCCGTCTTGACATCTGAAATGTATGTTTGCAAATGCAGTTTGCTCTTACTTTCTAAAATGAGACCCTTTCTCCCAGCTTGCTGCTGCTGGTACAGTCATGACGAACCCAAGCCCCTCTTCAACGTTACCCTGTGGTTCTGGGGGCCTGAGGGGAAGACGCACCAGTCTTAGGGTCCAGAGCGAGCCGTGTGAAAGGCGGTCCTCTTCAGGTTGCACCCCTCCCACCATCCCCATCAGCTTTATGAACTCGGACTCAAGGCCGTAAGTGGGAGGGAATGGAAGAGTAAATCGCACGTGCTACCTGCTGACCATCCACGTTATGAAAAGGCCTTTGGGAAAAGCCATTTAATAACTCGACAATAAGTTTCCTTGACTTAAGACTATAATCAACCCTCAGCCAAAACCAAAACCTAAAAGAAATCAATACTTTAATGTTCGAAGTCGAGCACCCGGAGAATGACTTTCCGCGGGAGGGTGGGGCGGGTGGCGCTATGGTCACCGTGGGCACCTGGGCAGGAAGTACCCGCCAGGTGGTGAGCAGCCCAGGGACACAGTGCGCCAGGCGCGGGATGCAAGGCCACCTCCCCTGGGCCACGCCTTCCACCATTTCAGTATTTCTGGTCATCTTATTGTACTTGGTTCCTGCCCGGAAAAACTTTTTCTTAAGCTTAAATGGGATGAATCAGAGGCAAAAACAAACCCCCACCCCCCCCGCCAGAAAACCTCATTATAAAGGAATAGGTTCCCCAGGCCTATTTGCAGGGAGAGCAGAAATCTCCCTCAACTTCCACGTCACTCACTGAGTTATAATTTTTATAGAAAATTTTATTCAACATACAACATTTTCCAGCAAAAAGGCAATATACAGGAAGAGTCGGTGCACACTGCTGCTACAGAAACAAACGAAAAATACTGGAAAAGGATGAAAAGTAAGTGTCATCTGCTGATTCTATTTTACTGCACTCAAAACTAGACACGCAGCTGGCGCCAGCTCCAAAGGAAAAGGCCGGACTGAAAGAAAACTACACACAATGAATATCAACATCAGTGAAAGTCACTTAGATTCACCCAACAAAATGCCACCTCCTCCCAGTGGTAAATTGTACATGTTCATTCATTAAATATACAATTTCAATTTTCCTTTTTTTTTTCTTTTTTCTTTAGCTTTTTTATACAAAGTCAACAGCTTGCTAACACCAGTGGGCATGCCCTCTTTGCTAAAAGGCCCTCCTTTCTTGGTTCCGCCTGTCCCGTTTTAAGGAGACAGGTCTATTTGTAATTTTCCACCTGCTCGAATGAACTCTTGAGGTCATTGGGTTTGCCGAGAGGCAGCACAGCACGCCTTAACTGTACTGAGCAGCGTCTTCAATTTAATAAAAAGACCCCCGAAGTGTCTGTCAGGCCTGTATTCAGTGCATCCACTCTGCAAACGGGCTGCAGGACAGCGGTGGCTGACGGAAGGGAGACGAGTTTATTAAAAAGACCCAGGCAGCTGGGGAGACCGAGGAAGGGGCGACAATACACGAGTGAAGGAAAGAGCACTATTTATTAGGTTGTGAGTTTCTCTGTTTCGCCTTTACAGATGCACAAAAGGTCATTGAAAAGTATAATTGAGGGAAAGACGTCAGACGAGCCTAAACAGAAGACTTACTAGCTGTGGGGCTGGCGGCCGGGCCCCGGGGCGGGGACAGCCGAGCCTGTCCAGCGCCGCGCCGCACCCACCAGCCGTTCCCCGACACGCTGACAGCGCCTTGCATCGTGGTTACCATAAAATAACTCTCATTGGCATCCAAGCTTTATAAAAACACCTTCATTTTGCTCAAAAAGGGCAATCAATAGATACAGAGAAGCCAAACTGAACAGCCTCAACAAAATAAAATTAACACCAGCAGCAAATCCTCTTGCTGAAGACTTGGGACAGTGCTCGCGCACCAGAGTTCTTGGCTGTTGTTAACGGGCACACCCACCGCGGTCCGCCTCGCCCACCCGCCAGGGGAGGAAGTCAGTTATGGATTTTAATCGCCTTTTCCAGGTATGTGTAGCGACTCCTCTTTGGGGCTTTGTTGAAGTGGTCGAGCCCTAGCCAAGGCCGAGGATGAGACATGTTACCTGGCGGGGAGAGAAAGCAACTGAGACCACAGAGCCCAGGCTTGGGCCCCTGGAGCGAGTGCACCCCACCCCCAACTGAGGCCTCAGGGCTCCCAAGGGCGGCACCGTCTCCCCTGGGACCTTAGTTTTTTCGGCCATTGTGTGATGCCTGCCAAGTTCATCGGTTACAGGCTGCCGTTCCTCCCTGTTCTACAGATGAGGAAAACAAGGCC